CGCTTAACCGACTGCGCCACCCAGGCGCCCCTGGATTATTTTCTAAATCACGCAGATGGGGGCGCCTAGGTGGCTCAGTCGGTTGAGTGTCCGACTTCGGCTCAGGTCATGATCTTGCTGTCTGTGAGTTTGAACCCCTGCATCGGGCTCTGTGCTGACAGCTCAGAGCCTGGAGCCTGCTTTGGATTCTGTGTCTCCCTCTCTCTCTGCCCCTCCCCCGCTCATGCTCTGTCTCTCTGTCAAAAATAAATAAACATTAAATCACGCAGATGGCTTCAGTGGGGCTCCCTGCAGTTCACCCTGGGAAGTGACTGGCCTGCCTCTGTTTGAGACAGTAAAGGCTTGAGAACAGGAATTGGAAGAGGCTCTGGGAGGCTGCCAGGGTTGCATACGCCACACACAGACCTGCTCAGAGCCACCGTGTGACCCCAAAAAATGGGCTGCAGGGAAGGCCAAGGTCCAGTGAGGACTTCTTTCAGCCCTGTCTCCTCCACCAGGCCTTCCTCCTATGACACCTGCCTGGGATAACAGGCAGTTGGTGCCTTCCTTTCTTCCTTGCAGACATCAGGGACGCTACCTACTTGTGCTACCTTGCTGTCTGTTACACATACTGAATTATGACGTGAGCCTCAGACTGAGCTTGATCCCCCTTTCCACACTTGGTGGCCTCCCTACAGGCACCACCGTGGTGTGTGCAGAAGGGAGAGGAGGGGCAGGGAGACCAGGAAGTGCAGTGAGGACGCCATAACCCTCTGATACCAGGGAAAGGTCCTGAGCTGCTTGCTCTGGAGAAGGCAAAATACGTTTTAATGATTTCTGTGGCCCCAAGGGCAACTGTGTGAGCCTGGCAAGGGATGGCAGGGCTGTCATACAAAGTAGGCAGCCAGGGCTGACATCTTGTCCTTTGGCCGCCTGGCACTGGGCTTCACTGTGGGCCGACGGCCCCGGGCCCGCCCCCGGCCCTGCCTCCTTCCTGGCCCGCCACGGTGCATGGGGTGGCAGGAGGCCGCGTGCTTCAGCTCCACTAGCTCTTGGAAGATGGGGTCGCAGAAGACGCAGCCCGTGTGCTGTGTCTCATCACCTGGGAGCGGGGACTTGGCCTTGTTGAAGTCCACAGCCAGCAGGGCAGCCTCACAGGTGCTGCAGGTGTCGGCGGACACCCGCACGCGGTAGGCATTCTCGAAGCAGTGCGCCACCACATTGCACTTGTTGCAGGCCACCTTCCACTTGGGGCCTGAGGTGGGGTCCAGCACCAGCACGCCGCTCTCGCATTCCACGCACTGGCCGATGCCCAGCATGCTAAGCGAGTGCTGGCAGGTGGGGTGTGTGCACTCATTGCAGCCCATGCCTGGTGGGGAGGGGGCAGCCCATGATGCACACCAACCCCCACCCTGTGCTGTGTCCCCCCCCAACCCCCCCTGCTGCCACCTCCCAGAGGGTCTTCCCCTAGGGCCTCATGGTCCAGATCTGTCGTCCCAGCAAAAAGTGTTCCTTGATCACCCTGGGTCTGGATTCCCCCACTGCCCTTGCCCCTGCTTCTCTGCTTATCTAAAACCTCCTCAACCTGTGAGTGTCACTCCCCCTCCCCCCATCATTTCCAGAAGGCCTTCCTGGTGGCCTCCGGCCAGGTCCATTCCCCCTCTTCACTTTGCTTCCACAGCCAATTCCCATCAGCTCCATGTGGCTCCTGTGCTGCTGGGTCACACGGAGCCACTGGCTGCCCTGAAAGATGCTAGAGGGCAGGGAAGGGCCTCAGTAACCCTAGTAGCCCAAATGCAGGCTGTCCCTGCCTCACAGGTGAGGCTTGAGTCAGGAAGGGTGAATTGAGACCCCTGAGGGTTCCCTAGACCCTTTGATGAACGTGGGTAGATGCCTCTTGCTGTACCTCATTCCTGTCTGTAGCATGGGGTGAACACGCTGGGCCCTGTACCTCCTCTAGACTCTTGGCTTAGTGCTGTTGGTGCCTCCCACTACCCACCCCTACCCATGCACATGTGTCTCCTTTCCCCAGTAATGACTGTGAGGATAGAGAACGGAGGTAGACGCTGACTGAGGGTGCACCCCTTGCCAGGTGGGGCCCCCCAACCTGCTGCATCACTCAACTCAACCTAGCCCAGGAGAGGGCACGGCATGCCTACTGCCCAGATCCCGAGTGAGTGGATTACAGTTGCCCTCTCAATTATGACCGGGACAGAGAGTGGCAGACTGGCTGGCTCCGCCTCAGCAGTGCCCAAGTACACCTCAGGTCTCCTGTACCTGAGCCGGTGAGTCCAGCCATAGCGTGGGGGCAGGGCAGGGGCTGGACAGGCACCACAGACACCCAGGGGGGACGGGGCAGCCTGTCTTGGGAGGGAGCGATTGAGGCCAAGAGACGGGGCACTCACCTTTCTTCATGTCTCGGAAGGGCGGGTGATTGGCGCAATAGGGGCACAGTGGGTAGCTCTTGCCCCTAGAGCCTGAGGACCACAGGACCAGCTCGAAGTCATCCAGTGGGCACCGGAGCTCCTTGTAGAGCTTGATGGTGCCATTCTGGGGGAGGGTGTAGGTCTCGTCGCAGTGGGAGCAGTGCAGGCGGCTGGGCTTGGCCTGCAGAAACACCAGGGAAGATGCTCAGGGTCACTGAGGCCACCCTGCTCTCTGGCCTGCCCTCACTCTCCTAATACAGAAGTAACAGGTGACATGTAGTATATAATGTATATAACATGATACATAAGACAGAATATGCAGCACTGTAATGTGTATGTAGTACATAATATATGATACACACAGAAAATCTAACGTGTATACAAAATACATAATGTGTTACATATGTCACACACGTAGAATACATTATGTTTACATATTACTTATGTATTATGTATGCATAACACATAATACATATGTATACTTATGTACACAACAGAGACATACGTAGTAATATATGTGCAATATGTAATACATAATATGTAACCCATAACACACAATGCATAATGTGTAACACACGGAATATGCATATAATGTGTAACTTATAACATGTAACACAATACATAATGCATAATGTGTAGCATGTTGCCAGGCAAGGACCTCTCAGGCAAGGACCCATAGCCATGAGTCTCAGGACACCTGCTCCAGGCATGGAGAAAGGTAGTTCTAGAACCCCTGCATGTGTATTAATGCCCAGGATAGCAAATAATGTGTTGTTAGGAAAAAATGGACAATGTGTTTAAGAGCCCCCACAGCTCACATGTTCCTGGGGTCAAGGGGAAACTGGGTGTCTGTTGGCAAGGCTGCAGTAGGCCTCTCATTCTTGTGTGGCAGCCAGAACAATGATTTCTTTATGACTAAGGATAAGGCAGAGGTCTACAGAGGTGACAGGACTTGCCCAGGTCTGTACACAAGGGTGCTGTAGGCCAGATGGGGTGGTCACAGCCCTTCACCCTCATTTACCTGAATGTACTTCATGAACCGGTGGCACTTCCCACAGCGGGAGAGGGGCTTGCCCGTGGCCGCCAGGGGTGAAAAAGACACCTCCATCAGTTCGTCCATGCCTGAAAGCAAGCAGCGCAGGGAAGAGTCACATCCTCCTAGCCTCCGGCAGCCCGCCTCAGACACGTGCACGGAGGGGGAGGCCACAGCAAGCATCTGAGTAAATGCGTCTCTATCCCTGAGGGTGCTAGGGTAACAGGAACAGCAGGGCTGCGGCCTCATGTCTCACATGAGCTGGGTGCCTCGTGTGTGGTGTTAAGATGTGTGCTCTTGGGTCAACTGAGTGACTCACTCGGTTAAGTGTCCAGCTCTTGGTTTCGGCTCAGGTCATGATCTCAATAGTTTGTGGTTTTGAGCCCTGCGTCGGGCTCTGCGCTGACAACGTGGAACCAGCTTAGGATTCTTTCTCCCTGTCTCTCTGCCCCTCCCCTGCTCGTGCTTTCTCTCTCAAAAATAACTTATTAAAAAATATCTTATTAAAACACAACTTATTAAAAAATACTATTAAAAAAAAAGCCCGCTCTTTAACCCCAACGATGGTCCAGCAATGAGATGTTATTGCCCTGTCCTCCCAAAGGAGCCCCGGAGCCCGGAGCCCAAATCTGGACACTGGTCCCACATGGCTGGGGCAGCCCTGGCCCAGGGGCCTCTGGCACAGGGGTAGGGAAGAGGTGGGCTCACCGGCGATGGAGTCCACGAAGTAGTGGAACTTCCTCTTGAAGACATCCAGGGTGTGGCCCAGAACTTGGCGGTAGTCAGCTTTGCCCTGGGCGATCAGGTTCAGCTGCTTCTCGACTGCACTGCGGATGGTGGGGAGTACCAGCTCTGCATCTGCAAGTAGGGGAGTGCTGCTGTGAGCACTCGCACTGGGGAGCTGTGGCTGCCCCCACCAGCTCAGGCTGCAGTCTTGTGGTCCCACGCCTTTCCTGATCTCCTACCCGGAAAATCCAGTGTCGAGTGGCCAGGGGCATCCTGTCTCCAAGACTGTCACAGTTCCTGGAAGTCCTCAGGCCAGGTCTGTGCCCTGCCATCTCCCCTAAGACCCTTGGAACCTCTCTGGGACAGAGCAAAGAGCTCTGCAAGGAGGACCCAGACCCCATCCGGAGCTGGTCTGTGGGGAAAAGCCCCTCGAGCCTCCTCTCTTGGATCCTTTGCACTTGTCCATTCATCCATCCACCACACAGAGACCCTGCTGGAAGCACGTCCAGGGCCGGGCGGGGGGGTGGGGGGTGACAATGTAGCACTGTTCCAGTGGGAGTTGACCTGCCACAGGGCCATGGCCTGTCAGAGGCTGGGGGCTGATGAATGCAGAGCTGCAGCCCAGGCCAAAGTCAGGGAGCAACAGCCAGCCAGACTCATCAATCTCTTTTCTTTTTTAAAAGTTTTTTGAATGTTTATTCATTTTTGAGAGAGAGAGAGAGAGAGAGAGAGAGAGAGACAGAGTATAAGGGGCAGAGAGAAGAAGCAGGCTCCAGGCTCTGAGCTGTCAGCATAGAGTCCGACATGGGAACCGTGAGATCATGACCTGAGCTGAAGTCTGACACTCAACCGACTGAGCCACCCAGGTGCCCCACAGACTCACCAATCTTGTAGTAGCCATGCACCAGGACGATGCCAAGGTTGGTGGGTTTGAGTCGGCGCCCGCTCTCCACAGTGACGTAGTTGCGCTGGCAGATGTTGTTGATGTGCACGGGGATGCTGGCGTCTGTCCCTGAAACACATAGCAACACATACCAAGTGTTCCATAGCAGGCTCCCCATCAGACCGTAGGCTCCACCTTTGCTCCCGCTCACCATGGGGACTCTGGTTCTCAGCCCCCTCACCTCTGTTTTTGGCTAGCACTGTGCTGGACACCACACCATGTGTTTTGAGAATGGTCTTGTGAATCCAAAAATGGCCCTCCCAGCGCCGGGCGCTTAATTCCCCTCTACAAACAACAGAGGCGCATGGAGGTTAAGGAACTCTGCCAAGGTCATGGGAGCTCAGTCTGCCTGCCCCTCACATTTGGTAAATGCGACCTCCTTGACCTCTCCCTGCCTCAATTCTGAGACATCTACCCCTTCTAGAAACAGGGCTCAAGACCCCTGAACACGGAGGAACTCCCATGCTCGCTGCCAAATCGTCCCCTCTGAAACCTGCTTAGAACTGCCCACTTTCCAGCTCCCAGGTCCCTTGTGATTAGTTTCCAGGATGGCACCTCCCCTAGAGACTTCAGGGTCACCTGGCGCTGCCAGATGCTGCCTTTACTGCTCCCCCATGCTGAGGAGCCTCCTCAGATGGTGCTTAGAGGCTATGGAGGCCATTGAGGTACCGCACTGGAAGGACAATGCTGGGATTAGGATCTGAGCCCCAGCACGCTCCCCGCTGTGCCCACTGCATTCTTGCCACTGCCGGAGCGGCAGCCCTTGCCAGTTCCTTTTCACACAGCCCTGGGGGCTCCCAGTTAACAGGGCTGCCCAGGGCCGCTGTCTTGTTCAGAAGGTCACAGGAGCCCTTTTCACGGGCTCATTTTGGTTATGGGATCTGGGCTGCTGTCCAGTATGTGGCTGCAGGGAGCCATGGATGTCTTGTCAATGGGGAAGGACAGAGGATGCTGGGGGAGCAGCACCCACACACCACTGTCACCAAACCTAGGTGAGACGTTCCCTGACAGTCACCTGTCACAACTGTTAGTGACAGAACAAGACTCAGGCACAGCACCCTAGATTGTTCTGGCCCTCCAGAGCTGGGTCAGCTGGTGCAGCACATCAAACAACAGGCAGTTCCCATTAGAGTGAACATTGCCTGGGGAGCTGGCCACACCCTGGGCTGCAGTTACTAGGTGCTGGGCACGGAAGAGTCACTGAGCAGGTCTGGACCTGCTCCTGGGATGGAAACCCTCAGGCCCGGGGCCTGGGTGGGCAGGAGGGTGGGTGCACCCACCAATGCCGTGCTTCTCCATGAGTGTGATGAGCTCGGCCTCTGTCAGGTAGTCGGGTGGGTTCGTCTGCTTCTCCAGCATCTTTATTTCACTCACAGCAAAAGTGTCGCCCCTCTGGCAGGTGGGCAGGCTCTCCTCCAGAGGCACACTCTGCCAGGGCATGATCTCCGTGAAGCCTGGAGGGAGAGGGTGCTGCCACTTAGGGTCCCGTCCCAGGCAGCCCAGGCCCAAGACCCTGGGCCTCCCTCCCCAGGTTCAATGGAGAATGTTCTGTCTGTGGAGGTGAGGGAGGAGCCAGTCTGGCCCTGCAGTTTTACCTGGAGAGATGACGGTCTTCCCTGTGCAGGTGAAGTGCTCAGGACCAATACGGAAGGAAATGGTGCTCTGAAGGTACTTGCAGTCGTAGCTAACTGTGGCAATGAAATGTCTGGTGATGTACTCATAGAGCCGCCACGCCTCACTGCCTGCAGCAGGCAAGGAAGTTGGTTACTGTCCAGAAGCTCTGGCTCTAAAGACCCCCCAACACTCTCATTCAGACAGCAGGGCCCTGGCCATCAGCACAGAATGGCAGGGCTGGCCTGCACTGAAGCTGGAGAGAGGAGTAGGAAGTGCGCAGGAAGGGAAAGTGAGTATCCTGTGCTGTGGTGGTTCCTACACAGTTACAGCTCCGACCTCTGCTTCCAGGTGGGACTGCTCTTCAGGGCCTGGTATGTTCTTAGTTGGTGACTGCAAGCTTGGGTGGTGCACAGTGGCTCCTGTCTCTACCTGCACGGTTCTCCCTTTCCCTGCCTCCTCCCAGTACACAGGCCCCCACACTGCCTTGGTCGGGTGGGAAGCAGGAGGCACACCCAGTGGTTGGGCCCCAGCACTCCCTGTCTTGGTCCCGTCCTGTCCCCTCCTTGCCCATCTGCCTCACCCTCCTGGCTCCTACGAGCAGCCACCTGCACCTGCACTCAGGCATACCACCCCACACCTGCTGCCACCACTTCTCTTCTGTCTTGCCCCATGGTAACAGAACACAACCTTCAGGTGACTCTCTGTGCCACAGCTGGGGGCAGGTGGGGGAGGGAGCCCCCACACTGCCAACGGGGCCCGACACTGTCCTAAGGTGCCACATGACTATAGCTTCCCACCCAGAAACTTGGTGTGTGTGTTTGAGTGAGTGTGTGAGTGTTGGGGGGAGTGACTGATACCTAATTCAGCCTCTGTGGCAGACCTCATGGGGGTAATGGGGGGATGGTCACCAGCATCATGGCCTTTCCGTGGGTGGTTGATACCTTCTGTTAACAACCGCTTCACCTGAGGGAGAAAAAACAAAGCAGTGAGTCTGGGCATAGCTAACTTCCCACAGGGAGGAGCCAGCACTAGTTCTGGGTTTGGCCAAAGTGCCTGGGAACAAGGGTGTGCGGTGGCTCTGCTCACCGTGTCGGCCCAGTAGGGGTGGTTGGCCTGCTGCCGCAGAGGGCCCTTCAGGTCAAAGTTCTCAGGGTAGTGGGTGGTCTCAGTCCGCGGGTAGCTGATGTAGCCTTGCGTGTAGAGCCGCTCGGCAGTCTGCATGGCATGTTGTGGCCCCATGCCTGTGAGGGATGGGAGGCTCAGTGGGCCGGAATGTTGGGGATGGCCAGGTCCCTGCTAATGGGCCTGGGCACTCAGCCTCCCCATCAAAGGCGGCCAGGGCCTCCTGGCAGGTGGAGGTGGTTCTGAGTGGGCACAGCTAGAGCACAGAGCTGCTGGCCAGGCCACTGTGCCCATACAGCTTTACCTGAGGCCGAGGTCCTGAACCTGTAAAGGTGGGCCCAGGACAGGGATGCTCCACAGTGTCACCCTCAAAACACTAGTGGCTATGCTGATTAAATGTGGCCTGCAAAGTGCTGCTCTCTCACATTCTGGCCATGGAGTGCAACTGTGCCTCAGCATCTGCTAATGTTCCACTATGACTGCAGAATTAGCACACACCCCCTGTTCTGAGCTCCATGGGTGTTTCTGTCCTCGTGGCACTCCAGGACTACTGAGGGAGGGCAGCAGAGGCTGCCCTCAGCTATTAGCCACTCAATGTCATCACTGCCCTCCGAGGATCCCTGAGGTGCTGTTCTGAGGACACTGGCCAAGGTTTCCCCAGGCTGCAGAGGCACCAGTGCCTTGAGGCCAACAGCTGTCAGAGACAGCCAACTTTCCAGTCAAAACCCCTTCTTCCTCCTGGGGCAACAAGGCTCAGAGACATTACATCAACACTGGTCACACTGGCCCCTGCAGGACATTAGCCTGGGGCATTAACCTCCCACCCCTGGCCTCTCTCCCTACACCAGGGAAGCTTCTCTGGGGTGCTAAAGTCAGGACATCTCTCTTGGGTAGTGGCAGTCATTACCACTGTTGCTGTTACAATACACCATTACAATAATTTAATCCTTTTAGAACAATCAGCCCTGAGAGATGGTCACAATGGCTGCTGTTTTCTTGTGAGAAAACCAAGGCTCCAGGACAAGAAAGAAAGTAGACAAGCTGACACTGGACCAGAGTTTGGGTCCAGGGCTGGAATTCCATCGTCTAATGCCTCTGAGGGGACTCCACTGTGCCAGTGACACACAGGCCTGCCCTATAGGTGGTCTCTGACCATGGCCTGCCATGTGTTTGGCCCTGGCAGCAGCTGCATGGATGTTCAATAATATGGTTTATTTTCCCCACATAAGTCCAAAGGGGCTGTTGCATATTAACCGATAATCTTCCAAAATGGAATCCTCTCTCGTGTTTGTCAGTTTGTTATTACTTATTTCCACTCTGGAAATGAAATCCGCATGAGACATAGATTCCCACTAAGCCTCGAATGACACTGCAGGTGAGCTGTGGCTTGACATAGGTGAGCATAAGGCACTCAGCACAGGTGCACACAATGGGGGTGTGGGGGGGGGAGGAGGGGGAGGGGGCACTCAGCACAAGTGTGCATGAAGGGAGCGTGAGAGTCAGCATCACCCTGGAAGCCCAGGCATTGCACCAGGGCTGAATGGCTCACCGCATGCCTGCTCCAAACCCTTCGGGGGCTTTAGAGGAATGCCCCTACGTACCCAGAGAAGAGCTAGCTACTCGCAGCATCTCCACAGTGTTCAGGGCAAGGGGCCTCTGCTTGGCCTTCTCTTTCCGGCTTGTGGCCTCCACCTAGAAGACAGAACAGATTCCGGGATTTGGGGTAGTGGGGAAAAGAGGCCATAATAGAGAATCAGGAGGTATGGGCAAAGGGTCTGGTTTCGTTCATTTGGTCTCCCTGCTTCTCAATTTCACTTATCACAGTGGTCTCAAGACTTGAATATTTATTTAGGCCAAGGAAGGGAAAAAGAAAGAAAATTCTTTCCAAGAGAACTTTCTAGGGAAAGAGAAAACTTGGAGAAACAGGGAAGAGCCAAGAGAAAGGGCTGCAAATTCAAACTCCTACGGGAGCCAGTGGCAGCCAGGCCATGGGGATGGCAGGTGAGGGCTGGAGCAGACCACGGAGTGCAGGCCTGTCTCAGGGGCAGTCAGCTGCCCTCACTGCACCTGAGTGCTTCCACCAGGGCCTACCAGTATTGCTACATCTTCCAGTTCATCAGCAAAAGCTGCAAATCAGGACTTTCATGCGAAATCTCATGACTTTCAAATGTTGGTGACCATTTGAAACGTTTATAAACGTGAGGCAGTTTAGATAAAATACTAGGCAGCTTCCAACTCTGGGCAGAACAGTTGTTAGAAAAGAGGACTCTGTCTTGCCTGGGACAAAAACAATCCAAACTCAACTCCAATGCCTCGTCTCTCCCAATCCCATGGAGACATGGCCAAGGCAGTGCCTTCTGAATTCCAGACAGACCAATGTGGGGGGTTAATTTGGGACAAAATGGGTACATGCTTCAGTGGAGGCTTGGGATCACTAGGGTCGAGATCTGGAGATGATGGCAGTGAGTCTCTTGAGGAACATGGTCAAGGATAAAAGCATGAGGCAGCTTTGGAGGAAGTTCTAGAAGCCTGAGTCAACTGCATGGGTGAGCAGAGAGCACCCAAGGAAGGCTGGAAAAGGGCAAGAGAAGGTGATTGAAGGAGGCCAGGCTGTGCCTCCATGACTCTGGTAGCTGTTACTGCTGTGGACCTCTGTAATGGTGGCAGAACTACCTCCATCCCAGGTAGGCAGCCCCTTGCCAGGTGGTGTCACCCTTTTCCTAAAGGTCAAGCACATGTCCCTCAAATTCATAAAAACCCTGAGTAGGAAACACAGCACCATAAAGGCCATGAAAGCTGACTGAGGTTGGGATCTCATGTTAGCTGTGTGACCTTGGGCAGGTTCACTGATGTGCACACAGGTCCCTCCAGAGTTGTTAGCATTTAGAGATCACAGAAAGGGGACATCTGTGTGAAATGGAATCCTGACAAAAGGGGATAATGCCTGTGGGGCCTGGCAGGTCATGGGCATGGGGCGGTGCCCGGAACAGGGTAGGTATGTGGCCACACTGGTTACTGCAAGCAGTTCTGTAACCTTTCTTCTTTCCAAAAGATGTCTGTGTTTCAAAGAGGGACAGAAAGATGGGACCCTAGGCCACAAGCTACTCTTCCGGCCAGAGGCTTCCAAGGTCTACTCCCAGCCAGAGCAAACATGACAGATATGGGTGGGGCAGGCCCACCTGGGCTTCCTTCTCCAGCTTTGTCATGTTTAAAAACATCTGTGCGATTTCCCGGTCAAACACTCGCACTCGGTCCCAGTCCAAAAGAAGAGATCTGTCTTTTTCGGCATTAACCTGGAGGAAAAAGTATAAAAGGACAAAACAAGAGAGAAAAAATCCAGGTAAGCCCACTGCCAGGAGTGAAAATCAAGAGAGATGAAGCTGGTCCTCGCCTGGGAGCAAAATGATCCCAGCCCTAAGGTCTCACAGTCATACCTATACAGGTGTGCAGGTGTACAGATATGTAGGCTGAGACCCAGCCCCATCCCAAGGGAAGACTGCTCTGACTCCAGGCTTCTGCCCCGAGACCAGGCAGGTGGGAGGGGAGCCAAAAGTCAAGGCTGTGTCCTTAAGGAGTGTTAGAAACTCTGCCTTGAATGCCATCCCTGCGCACTAGGTGCAGTTGGTCCATGGGCCCCTAGTCCTACGTCAACCAGACCAGCTCTGTATTATGTTTTAAACCTTATAAGAAGCTCACATGGAGAATTTTATTTGGAGAAAGGGTTCTAAGACTTTAAAAAATTTGAAAGTCAGTGGCCTATAGCCCTCAGTCCAGTCCTTGGACCTGACCATCACAGCTGATGGCCCTAGGGGTGACCCTGCCCCACACTGCCAAAGTGGAGTTCATTCCTGCTTACCCAAATTCAATGCATCCAGGCCTAACCTTATCCTGCCTCTCTATGAAGGCTGGGGTCTCTTCCCTGGACACCCCGCAGACCACTCTCTGGCCTCTCTCCTCTGTGCCCTTGGCCTCAGGCCCTTGCATGGCTATGATGATGATGGAAAACTCTCAGAGTCCACAGCCCAAACCTGGAAAGACCCAGTGTGCATAGGGAAAGGAAATCAAACCTTGGCCTGTAGCACCCAGTAGGTCTCTGGTTTGAAGGACTGGATTTTATCGTGTCTCTCCACACAGAAGCCCAGGGTAGGGGTTTGACATGGTCCAAAGGAGATAAGGGAGCTGTCTAGATTGCCATATTTTCCCTGGAAGTATTTAGTCTGAAACCTATAAGGAGGAGGGGGCAGAGAAAGATATTCCGGTTATGTATTCACTCCAGACACCATTGTTAACCACCCATGTGAATCCAGCATGGGGCTACTAGTGAGTGCAGGGAGGGGACCAAGGTGGCTTCCCTGCTCAGAAGACAGGGGACAGGGTGAGGTCATGCTCAGCATGGGGGCTGGGAAGGGTGTGTTCAGGCAGAGAGGAATCGTGTGTGCACACGTGACACAAAACGCAAGAGAGAAGAGCAGAGGTTCCACCTATCCCAGGTCTGGGAAGCCCTTCTACTATATTCTATCCCCTCCACCCTCTCCTGAAGACCCACACAGTGTAGACAAACACTCTGCTTATCAAGTAGTGGCCTGTGTGGTCTCATCAGCTAGACAGACAGTTCTTCAGGGGTTTTAGAATGTGGATGTTGGCCTAGTGCTAACCAGGTCCTGGGGTGGCAAACAGGGACCAGAAAGACAGGGGCTCTGGCTAAAGGGAGGGCAGCCAGCACCTGGTGAACGCGCAGCCGATGCGCAGGTCCAGCTCCTGCCGGGCATCCACCGACAGCGCCTCGTTATGGTCGGGCTCGCCCAGGCGGGCCATGGCGGCGCAGATGTCCGTGTCCGTGATGGAGCTGAATCTGGCCCGGAACACCGTCTTTTCGCCACCGTGGGTTGGATTCATGATGGGCAGCACGGCATCCAGTACCTGGGAGAGGCAGCCCAGCTGTAACCCACCACTGAGGTCTTTACCTCCTGCTCCACATTTTGCCTGTGAGGCCCGGGGCTGACCCTCAATGTGTGTGACTCCTGCCAGACCCTCCTCTGTCTCCTTCCCTGTACAGAAGTCTCAGTCTCTCCACAGAACTCCTGCTACATGGCTGCTCTTCCACCCACTGACAAATCTGTTCAAACATCCCCCTTTTTACTACCACCCTTTCTCTCATCCTCTGCTCTCATCCCCGCCCAACCAGCAAATGCTATTGCCATGGGTGCAAGGGAGCTCAGTCACCAAGTCCATCCCACTTGACCCACTTCCCTTCTTTCTAGAGGGCAGAGTGCCAGGAGGGGTAGGTGGAACTTTTGAGAGACTGGAGAAAAGCCAGGGAAGGAAAACAGAGATGAGGTGGAAAAGGCAAATGACAGGAGGGGTAAGGGCGCAGGGGACCCCCATGGTATGGGGCTTAAGAGTGGCAGGGTGGGGGCGGTGGCCCTCTTAGGGCTAAAGCACAGCGGGGGCTTGGAGCCAGACTCACTAAGAAGGCTGTGCTGTGGGAGGGGAGTCACACTGGAGCCTGGCCATGCAGCTTCTTTACAGGGAAGAGGTGCCTTTGTTTCTGAGGGGAGAGAGCCTGGTGACCTTCCACTCCTCGATGCAAAGGCCCCCCAGGGGAGGAGCAGCCCTGCAGGGGAGGGGCCAGGAGAGGAGTGTCTGGGAAGGGACATAGCGTGTTTCCTGAGGGTGCTGCGCTGGAACTTGGGGTGCCCTGAGCACCCTCTGCCATGCGGGAAGCATTTCCTGAGCCCCAGGGTGTGCCAGGCACCAGGTGAGAGCTGGGGACACAGAGGCAGGAGGGTGAGCCTCACTAGGGGACACCTCCAGCCAGGACCAGCGTGGGGGCACCACAGCCATAGATGAGGCAGGCACCTGCTTCCCTGCAGGGAGGGTAGAGACAGGAGGTGGGAGGGTATCTTGGGTGGGGAGAGGACAGTGAAGGCTGGAGGTGAGAAAAGGAGTGAGGAATGTTGCTGAGTGTCAACCAGCCTTGGCCAAAGGTCCCTGAAAGGTGCCCAGTGGCCAGGATGCTGGAAACCAACCCTCTCCTTGAGGCAGCTTGATTGGGAAACTCCCATCCACCCAGAAAATTCTGCCCTTTCTGTTTGCTCTCACAGTGAGCCCCAGCAGGGGAAGTAACACTCCTTCACCCTTGGTAGAGTCCCTGCATTTGAAAGTGTCTATGGAATTTTCGGGGCGCCTGGGTGGCGCAGTCGGTTAAGCGTCCGACTTCAGCCAGGTCACGATCTCGCGGTCCGTGAGTTCGAGCCCCGCGTCAGGCTCTGGGCTGATGGCTCAGAGCCTGGAGCCTGTTTCCGATTCTGTGTCTCCCTCTCTCTCTGCCCCTCCCCCATTCATGCTCTGTCTCTCTCTGTCCCAAAAAAATAAATAAACGTTGAAAAAAAAATTTTTTTTTAAAATAAAAATAAAAAAAAAAAAAAAAAAAAAAAAAAGAAAGTGTCTATGGAATTTTCAAAATAGAGGAGGAAAAAAGGCTATTTCTATGGCAACATGGCTGATTCCCCACTGCAGCCCCAGAACGGGATGACTGCAAGTGAGTTCAGTGGGAAGGTTGGCAGTGAGGACCTCAGTGGGCACCCCTCTTACCTCAAAGCAGATGTTCTCCCCTTCCTTGTCACAGTCCAGCCACAGCACGATGTAGTCGCAGCCTTTGCCTTCCACCTGCCACATAGCACACAGCGACTGGCACCTCCACAGCCCAGCCCTTCAATGCCCACCCATGGTGCTCCCGCCTGGCCCCTGAGCCCCAAGTAGGAGGGCCAGTGCCGAGTGGGACCCAGGCTGAGCAGAGGAGCTGGCTGCACTTAGGCTGCCTTAGCCACTTATAGAACTTAGCTTAGAACTTAGTTTTTTGGGCACAAAAAGTCATTAATGCAATGCTGCACAGAAAAAGGGCTGCAATAAGACTAAATGTTAATAGTGGTTGTCTTAGTGGGATCATAAATGATTTGTTCTTCCTTCTACTTTTTAATATTTTCCATGTGTATGCATTTGTTTTAAAATTAGAAAAACCACCACCAGTGCCAAACAATCTAAAAAACAGAATTTCTGCTCCCCAGGGCTGAATGACAGGGCTGTCCAGGAGGGCCAGCAGGGGGCGCTCTCAGAAAGGGTTGCAAGGCCAGCCCAGGCATCCAGCAAAGGCTGCCAGGTTCAAAAAAGGGGGAAGGATTCAGGAGGCCTCCTGCAGTGCAGGGGTGGACCCCCCCCCCCCCCCCCGGGTGCCTGTGCTCTTGCACGCCCCACACACCTGCAGGAACTTCACCATGTTCAGCTTGGGGTTAGCTTCCTTCTTCTCTGTTGGGGCTTGGCTGAACAGCTCTGCAGGGTCCACCTTGTCCCACTTGTTGTACTTTCCTACAAACCACAGCCACAGTGACATCTGAATCACACTTCCTGGCTCACAGGGCTTGACCTCTCCAATCGTCATAACCTCAGGAGGATGGTGGTGGTCTTGCCTCAAAAACGGGGAAAAGGAGGCTTGGAGAACACTTTACCCAGGGCAATCCCACAATTGGAGGCAGCGCTGGGCCTTCATTCCCCTAGGCTGCTGAGGTGACACCACACCTTGGCCACCCACAGGAGCCACCACTGGGCCAGGCTGCTGCTGCTCCAACCTCACTTCAGCACAGGCCCTGTGGCTGGAAGTGCCATTCCTGGGCTGGCTCACTTTGCCAGACCACTGAACTATACCACTCATACCTCTGTCTTCTCTTCCAGCCTGAATTTTTGTAACTCTCCCCCTACCTGGCACTGACAGGTGCTCAGGTGATCCCTGTGGGGAATCAATCTTTTGGGCCTCTTATCTGGTACATCCATCTACTTCTCTATTCAGGGCTCAGTGCTTGCATGCTTAGCCCTCCAGCTTTCTTTTAGTCTCCATTTTGTGTAGCCTGGGAGAATAGGGTCAGATAGAGTCAAGTTAAAATTTTTTTTATATGTTTTTATTTACTTTTGAGAAAGAGACAGAGTATGAGCAGGGGAGGGTCAGAGAGAGAGAGAGAGAGAGAGAGAGAGAGAGAGAGAGAGAGCGAGAGGGAGAATCTCAAGCAGGCTCCAGGCTCTGAGGTGTCAGCACAGAGCCTGATGTGTGGCTCAAACTCATGAACCACAGATCAAGACCTGAGCCGGTCAGACGCTTAACTGACTGAGCCACCCAGGTGCCTCAAGTCAAGTTTAAATCCTAGCTCGCCAACTGCCAGCTGGTGATAACTCAGTCCAAATGCTTGGCGACACAACTGAATTGATGTCATTGTTGTCACTGAGCAATAGGAAGGAGACCTTGCTGTGTGCTAAGCTCTTTACCTTCACTGTCACACTTAGTCCTCACACAATCCTGGGAAGTGGATGGCACTGTTGTAAGACCCACTTCACATCTGTGGAACAGAAACTTGTAGAAGCCCCAGTCCCAGCCGACTCTTTGTCAACCACAGGGCCCTGCACCTAGCTCTGTTGGGTACTAATGCTGGCTCTTCCAAGGTGACACAACAATGATACAAGGATGACAATGACAGCCACTGAATGACCACTGGACAATAGTCACACTCAGCAGGAACCACCTCCCAAATGCCTGCAGAGGCCAGGCCCCCTAAGGTGGGCATTCTCTGCCTCCAGGAAGCACAGGAAGGAGCATAGGGCGTGCAGTGACTAAGGGGTGCCTCTGGGATGGGGACCCAGGGGCACTGAGCTCCAAAGCCAGGGTTCTGGGCATGTCACCCAGAGACCCTGTGTCAACCCTCCACAATCTGCTGGCCTTAGGACTCACAGGTTCTGCACAAACTCCTTGCCTGGAGCCCTCCCCTGGCTCCAAAAAGACCCAGGGGAGCACTTCGCAGGGCTTCCCTTAGCAGGGTGGAGGGTGAGCAGGGGCATGGGGGGCTTACCCAGGAAATCCAAGGTCATCACATGACCACAGACAGATGTCATCTTGAAGCGGACGGGCTGGCCAGCGAAAGTCCCTGTGTACTCGTGCACTGAGCATGTTCCGTTCAGCCCTTTGCGTGAGGACATGTTTCCTACAGGGCAGAAGTGCAGTGACGGCTGCTCCAGCAAGCCACAACTGCTGTGGAGGCCCCAGGCCCTGGTGTTGCCTCTCGGAGGGCCAGAGTACCCCTTCCCCAGACTGGTTAGTGATGATGTTCTCTGAGCCACTGCGGGTAATGGAGTGCTGAGAGGTCATGGATCTCACGGAAAACACCGCTGCTGACCAACCAGTATGGTGTGCTCTCAATGCAGAGCCCTGTGTCTCTGAAGGCCAGGAGCACCCTCTCTGAACACTCTTAAGAGCAGACACTCTTGGGCCCTTTCTCTGCATTTCAGCCTCATTTCTTTCAAACTTTACTCAAAGGTATCCAGGGACTCATTATCAAATTCCACGATATTCTCATGCTCCCCTCGGACAGCCCCTTGGCTGACCTTTCTTAGCCTCTGGGAAGTGGGCATGTCTCAGCTCTCCCCTCCCTTCTGGAGGGATGCTAGCCCACTGTCCTAGCCAAGGGGAGGTCATGGTGGACATCTGCCATTTCTGGGTACCCAGCATGCAAACACCCTTCCTTTCTGGAGGGAATTCAGAGATGGGAGGGGAAGTAGCATCCCACCAACTATCCCAGTGGCCAGAGTTAGGGTAAGGAACACATGTTCCCTTTCTTAGTGTCCTGGTGTCTCAGGAGGACTGCAGCCAAGGGTCAGCCTAGTGGCTATTCTTGAGTGACATAAGCACACAGGCTGCAGCTGTAGCAGTCATGGGTTGAGGGTCCAGTGGCAAGGGTCCTGTGGTGACGATGTCCACGGCATGGCCTCAGACTTAGACTGGGGTCTCAGACTGGGGTCAAATTTAGACTAGGGTGGGGTCTTGGCTCTGTCTTCTTCCTTCCGATGAATTCTCTTTCTGGGTAGGTTACCAGGGCTGGTTGCTGTTTATGACCAACAACATGAGAGGCACAGTACTTTGACAGCAGCCTGCCTGGTGTTATGCTGTGAAGTGTGCCTGTACCTTTTTGGAGTCCCAGCCCTGGCTCATACCGGGTGCGGCAGTAAATGCATCCCCCAGTGACTGATACCAAGGTGCCTCGTTAGCACTTGTTATCTTGAACCAAGTCAACTCCAGAGAGCTGGAAAAAGAAAGAAATGACCACGCTCATAGATTCCAACCCCCCCCCCCCCCCCCCCCCCCCCCCCCCACCGCGTTGGTCTTCCCTACCTCGAGAGAGGATTTTAGCAATAGACTGGGCCAAGGATGGCTTTTCTGCAACCATGAGCACGGTCCTCATCTTGTCTTAAAGCTGCCAAGGGCTTTGGCCCTTCCCACTCCAGTTTCAGAGAGATGGCAATGAAGTTCAGAAATTGCTCTGCTCTTCTTTTTGGCTCAACACTGCTGTCAGCGCTGACTCCTGAAGAGAAGAAAAGACACGTAGAAAATAATAATGCTTCTAATGGAATCTATACCCCTAAGAAGGAAATTCACTTTAAAAAACAAAAAACAGGGGTGTCTGGGTGGCTCAGTCGGTCAAGTGCCTGACTCTTGGTCTCAGCTCAGGTCTTGATCTCAGGGTCATAAGTCAAGGTCGTTGGGCTCTGCACTGGGCACAAAACCTACTTAAAAACAACAACAACAACAACAACCAAAACACAGGGGTGCCTGGCTGGCTTAGTTGGTAGAGCATGTGACTCTTGATCTCAAGGTCATGAGTTCGAGCCCCCTGTTGGGCATAGTTTAATTAAAAAACAAATAGGGGCGCCTGGGTGGCGCAGACGGTTAAGCGTCCGACTTCAGCCAGGTCACGATCTCGCGGTCCATGAGTTCGAGCCCCGCGTCGGGCTCTGGGCTGGTGGCTCAGAGCCTGGAGCCTGTTTCCGATTCTGTGTCTCCCTCTCTCTCTCTGCCCCTCCCCCGTTCATGCTCTGTCTCTCTCTGTCCCAAAAATAAATAAACGTTGAAAAAAAAAATTAAAAAAAAAAAAATAAACAAATAAATAAGCAAAAAGAAACCTGAGGTAAGAAAAAGAAGTTAGGGAAACTTGAAGACACTGAACAAATCAGGGCAATGGAATTGGCTCGGAGATGACCTTGGGGATTTAGGTTCCTTTGGGAGACAGTGACATGGCTCCATGACCTCAGGTCTGTCTTGTCCCCAGATCCATGCTATGAAGGCTTCGGGGCCTTTGGACCTGGGCTGATGGGCTGGAATAGGGCAGATGGCCCTCCTCCCAGGCCATGGTTCTGTTTACTCCTCAGGGCTGAGGGCAGCACCTCCACCTCAGCTGAGCATCAGGATGCCCTGGGACATTTTATAAAATGCAGATGCCCAGGCCACATTCTTCAGGTCTTTCTGATCCACAGCTGGGCGCTGGGCCTGAGATCCACTGGCCAGGGAATCCAGTCCCCAGAACTTAATAGCCCCTTGCAATGGGCTCCAATCTACCTTCCTGCCTGCCCCACACAACCTCTAGCATTGCAGACCGTGCTTTTGGCCAATTAAATTGGACACCACTGTCTAAAGAAAAACATATTCTTAAGCCTCTGTTCCCTTGCTTGGAATGTACTACCAAGGCTGGAGAATGCAGCCTGGCCGTGTAACGGCTGGGCTCTAGTGCTAACTCTAAAGAGCTCTTCTAACACCCATGACAGTATGAGTCATTTCCTGCTGTCCCCAGTCCATTACAATGGACTGTGCACTGTGCCACAGTTAGTTACTGCCTCATCTCCCTGCCAGCACAGGAGCAGCCTGAGGTCTAGATCGCTGCTGGCAACTGTAATAGCTAGTTCCATGACTGATACAGGACATCTAATACCTGCTGGCTAAATAAAAGAAACATGGGCCCTTTCTGTCTTTTTTTTAAGCTTATTTACTTATTTTGAGAGAGAGAGAGAGCACATGCGCGCACAGGGGAGGGGCAGGGAGGGAGAGAATCCCAAGCAGGCTCCATCCTGTCAGCTCAGAGCCCAACGTGGGGCTCGAACTTACCAACTGTGAGATCATGACCCGAACCAAAATCAAGAGTCGAATGCTTAACTGACTGAGCCACCCAGGTGCCCCTGTCTTTTTGATCGTTATAGATATGGCCTTGACATTGACAAGTATGGCACTGTATTAAAAAAAACAAAACACCAAAACGTGTCTTCTACTGAGACAACTGAGCCACCTTCTGGGAGGAAAATTAAAGCTAGACTTCTACTTTATAATTTCCACCAAAACATAGTCTAGATCTAGCAGAAATTTAAGCAAAAAGATGAAACTAGAAAAATACTAGAAGAAAACAACTTTGGTATGAAAGATACCTAAGGATTTCAGAAGCTCAGAAGCACACCTCTTCACGTTTAAAATCATTTGATTTCCTTTCCTGTGAATGGTCTATTCATATTTTTTATCCTTTTTCACCCTAGCTGGATTGCTGTTTTCTTATTTTTAGGAACTGTTAATATAATGAGGAAATTAGCTCTTTGTAGTAGGAGGGCCAGCAACACCCATCACGGCAAATTAGAGGTAAAATGTTTACTGTTTACTCTAACAGTAAGTAGTAGACACTAAGCAAATACTGATTGAATAAATGGCTGCATGTATGAAACAATAATTTTACCTGCAAAGTGAATAATAAAAATACTTTTAGATGTCTAAATTTTAGAAATTTATTTTTTAATTTTAGTTTTATTGTTTTTTTGAAAAATTTTCAATGTTTATTTTTGAGAGAGAGAGAGAGACAGAATGCAAGCAGGGGAGGGGCAGAGAGAGAGGGGGACACAGAATCCAAAGCAGGCCCCAGGCTCTGAGCTGTCAGCACAGAGCCTGACCCGGGGCCTGAACTCACGAATTGCAAGATCATAACCAGAGCTGAAGTTGGAGGCTTAACCACCTGAGCCACCCAGGCGCCCCTTAGATGTCTAAGTTTTAAAAACGGACTTTAAATCTGTATGAGTATTGCAAGCACTTCTCACTGTTCTTTTTTCCTATGGTGTCAGTTTCTAGAAGTTTCGTATTTCTACTATTCCTCTTCACACCTAAGGATCCTAAATACCTTTTCAGTAAATAATTAACAGATTCTTCTCTAAAGATCCCTTTAGAGAGAGGGCACCTGGGTGGCTCAGTTGGGTAAGCATCTGAGTCTTGATCTCTGCTCACATGATCTCATGGTTCGTGAGATCTCACTGTCAGCACAGAGCCTGCTTGGGATTCTCTCTCTCCCTCTGTCTTTGCCTCTCCCCTGCTCATGCTCTCTCTCTCAAAATAAATAAATAAATAAAAACTTAAAAAAAAAAAAAGATCACTTTAGAGAAAAATGTTTTACCCCAGCATCTTCAAAGGGATTACCTCATTCATCCATGGCTAGACAACTGGATGGTGCCCACAAAGGGCCGTCAGCATCTGTTCTGATTTCTGGTCACCCGTCCACAGGACAGACTAGTTGTTACTCCCCACTAATACGTGTTGGTCTTTGGTAGTAGTGGCTCTAAAGAAACACACGTTCTAGTTCAACAGTTTATATTTCAGTTCTGCATGAGTACTTTGTGGAAAAAATATGACTTCCTTTAAGGATTCAGAATCATAGAATCCTGGGAAAGGGACCTTGGTGATGATCTGGTACAACCGTCTCAAGGAAGAACAAACTAAGACTCAGAGAAAGGGATTTTCCAAAGGTTACCTGGGAAATTTGAATTGGGGCTGAAACTCATGCTTCCTTACTTCCAGCCGGGTACCTTTTTTTTTTTTTTTTTTATAAAATTTTTTTTTTCAACGTTTATTTATTTTTGGGACAGAGAGAGACAGAGCATGAACGGGGGAGGGGCAGAGAGAGAGGGAGACACAGAATCGGAAACAGGCTCCAGGCTCCGAGCCATCAGCCCAGAGCCTGACGCGGGGCTTGAACTCACGGACCGCGAGATCGTGACCTGGCCGAAGTCGGACGCTCAACCGACTGCGCCACCCAGGCGCCCCCCCCTTTTTTTTTTTTTAAAATGGCACCAGGGTTCACCTCTTAAAAGCATTCTCCAGTTTTAACTGTGATTAATTTTCTGATTATTTGGGACCTATTTTTCCATTAAGGCACACTCAGATTTCAAAAGGGAAGTCAGTAATAGCTGAAAGCAATGGTTTGCAACCTTCATTATGCCATTGTTGTGTCATATACCATCTTAACCTTTTTGCTTTACCAACATTATTATTCATTTAAGTTTTTGCTTTTTTAAAAAACCTTAAATGTACATTTTTAAAAAGGGAAATTGTATAGCCTTGTAGGAACTGAAAGCCTGTGATCAATGGCCAGAACCAGGTTCTTTCCGTAACCTATGTCGTGTATCGGGTTTGGTCTTGTTTTCTGGTAAAGCTGAGCCTAAAGTTTGTTCTCTTATTTCAAAAGGGGAGATCAGCAAGTGCTAAGGCAGTGTTGACAGCAAATACGCAGGTTAGCCTGTTACTACCCTGTCAACTATCAACAGCAATACCACCAATGGTATGTGTCCTTTGGGAGACGCTGTACATAATAAGGTCCTTTCTGTCAGTCTTATAAACAAGTGAACTTGGCTTGGGAGTGGAGGCCTCGTAGGGGTCCAAACAGCATGCAGAGCCCTAGGATTTCCCACCTTAGCAATTTAACCCAATACCCATGGAGTCAGGAAAAGAGGGAAAGAAGACTCCTCCTTTGGAGGCAAACAATTGCTACAAACTGCTACTTTGTTTAATCTTGCAACAGCTTGACAAAGCTGGTTTTGTAATTTTTAAACCATGATTAAACGGAGGTTCAGAACAATCCAAACTAGTGCCAGGTGACCTTTGCCAAGGCTCTGGGGAACCCAGGGCTAAGTGGCCATCAAGCCCACGTCGGGCTGACTTCTCCACGTCCTGTTCCCTAAGGCTTTGTGCTTAAACACAAATCTTTAGAGGCAAGATTAGGTCACAGTCTTCTTTTTTACCTGTAAGAAATTAGTGCCTCCGGATTCTAGCTGTTTTGTTCACAAAAGGACCTTCCCTCATCTCCATCAACACCTCAGAGAAACACCCGGTTGCCCTCACGACTGAGCCAGGGCCCAGGTAGCGGCGAGTGGAGCGTGCCCTGACTTGGCCCCGACCTCTGCACGGCCTCCCCGAACCTCAGTTTCCCTACTCGTGACAACAGATTCAGACAACAGACCCCACTTAAAAGAACCGCGGACCAGGTTGACGAACGAGAGTATTAACTGCAGCGCCTATTCCTTCCAGGCACCGGACTAAGCGCTGGCCGATCATCACCTCCCCGAACCGCCAATGCAAGCTCCGGGGCGGGAAAGAGGCGGCGAGAAT